CTATGTCTTAGGTTGGCGAACTGAAGGAGGTGGCTTGGAAACAGGTTCCTCTGCAGTCAGCAGTCTAACGATTGCTGGGATGGTACTTCAGCTCCTCCACCCCTTCCGCCAGGATGTTCCACCTGTGTTCCCCGCGCTTGATTGAGAGACGCAATTCCCACGGGGGAGGTGGGGGGAACCAGCGACTGGCGAACGAGCGATATCCAAAACTCAAGGCGTATCTGAATCAGCCAATCGTGGATAAGACCCATCGTTCTCGCAGCAAACTGGTTGGCTGCCTACTTCAGCGCAACGCCCTCGTTGATTTCTGTCGCGAAGTCGGATTGTTCACTGGGTGATATGATAGGCCCCTGAAATTCGTGAAGTGATGGTAACCAGAAAATCAAATGCCACTGAGGTGTACACATGAACATGCTCTTATTAGGGAAACTTGTTTTGCCCACAAAACTGTAACATGACAGCTGGTATTATTCAAAGATGCAATCAGAAGATGCAATCAGAAGATGCAGAAGATGCAGATATAAACGATAACTTTCATATATACAATCAGAAGATGCAGATATAAAAGGTTAACACTGCGCTATGTGGCATAGACATGTAAAAGGCTCTAAAAAATCTCTCTTGTGTAGTGTCTAAAATAAAGACCCAGTGGAAGCAGAAAGTACCTACCAAGTAAAAGGTGAATTCTGCATGCTTCGTTAGCCTATTGACTTCTTTTTAGAGCCTACTTTAGGCCTTTAGCCCCAAGCCTTAGCACGGTCCATGTTATGAGTTGTAAAAGAGAGTGCGCAGGTAAACGAACAACGAGACTGTGATTAACTGATCTGAGAATACAATGAAGGCACAGACTAATGTAGGGGCTAGCCTAGCTTGTCAAACATATGTTTATATATTATAGTTTAGGTAGGCTTTAGTGGGGCACTCACTGTGGGGTACAACCCCTTAGGTTTTACCTTTGTACCAAACTTCTCGATAGTCAACATCAACCCTACTCTAACATGGTATTAAGAGCACTTAGGTCTTAGGACCTAGTTTCCTAGTGGGCCCACCGTTACCTCTCTTTTTTTTAGGGTTTCCCCTGCCTGTCGAGCTGCCCCACCCGTCGCGCCGCCCTGCTGGCCGCGCGACGCGCGTTTATTTTCATTTTTTCTTCGTTTTTTCTCGTCACGCCGCCCTAGGGCCCGGCCCCGCCCGTCGCGTCGCCTTATAGCCTTCGCGCCGCCCACGGGAGCCAGTCGCGCTGCCCTGCTGGCAGCGCGCGACCCCGCCTGGCCCGTCGCGCACCTGTAGGGCCCGCGAGCCGCCCGTCCCTGCCCGCCGCGCCGCCCCTTTTTGGCAGCGCGCGGCTCGGCCCCGACCTCGCGCACCCCTACGGCCCTCGTGCCGAGCTCTACCCGCTATTGCGGCCCCGCCCTGCCCCAACGTAGCCCCCATAGCAGCCGCCCCTGGCTCCTGCAGCAGCCACCCCTAGTGCAGCCGCCCCTGGACTCTGAGCAGCCGCCCCTGGACCGAGAGCAGCCGCCCCTGGCCCCTGCAGCAGCCGCCCCTGGTGCAGCCGCCCCTGGACCCAGAGCAGCCGCCCCTGGACCCAGAGCAGCCGCCCCTGGCACCTGCAGCAGCCGCCCCTGGTGCAGCCGCCCCTGGACCGAGAGCAGCCCCCCCTGGCCCCTGAAGCAGCCGCCCCTGGTGCAGCCGCCCCTGGACCCTGAGCAGCCGCCCCTGGACCGAGAGCAGCCGCCCCTGGCTCCTGCAGAAGCCGCCCCTAGACCGAGAGCAGCCGCCCCTGGCCCCTGCAGCAGCCGCCCCTGGACCCAGAGCAGCCGCCCCTGGCACCTGCAGCAGCCGCCCCTGGTGCAGCCGCCCCTGGACCGAGAGCAGCCCCCCCTGGCCCCTGAAGCAGCCGCCCCTGGTGCAGCCGCCCCTGGTGCAGCCGCCCCTGGACCCTGAGCAGCCGCCCCTGGACCGAGAGCAGCCGCCCCTGGCTCCTGCAGCAGCCGCCCCTGGTGCAGCCGCCCCTGGACCCAGAGCAGCCGCCCCTGGCCCCTGCAGCAGCCGCCTCTGGTGCAGCCGCCCCTGGACCCTCGAGCAGCCGCCCCTGGACCCAGAGCAGCCGCCCCTGGCTCCTACAGCAGCCGCCCCTGGTGCAGCCGCCCCTGGACCCTGAGCAGCCGCCCCTGGCCCCTGCAGCAGCCGCCCCTGGTGCAGCCGCCCCTGGACCCTTGAGCAGCCGCCCCTGGACCCAGAGCAGCCGCCCCTGGTCCCTGAAGCAGCCGCCCCTCCGTGCAGCCGCCCCTGGACCCCGTGCAGCCGCCCGCCGAGCGCCGGCCCTGCTCGCCCGGCGAGCACCTGCTCTTCCCGCCACTGGTGAGCACCTGCCTTGTTAGCGCACTGCCTGCCTGCCTGCCTGCCGCGCCTGCCCTGCCCGCCTGCCTGCCTGCCTGCCTGCCTGTCGGCCTGCCTGCCTGCCTGTCGGCCTGTCTGCCTGCCCGCGCTGCTACTGCTACTGCTGCCGCTACTTCTGTTACTGCTGCTAGGCTGCTGCTGCTGCTACTGCTGCGATACAGCTCCAGCGCCGTCGGCGCGAGTCTCTCATGCCCCAGCAGCTTCGTGAGTGGTACGGTAGTTGGGGTTGTGGCGGTAGCCGTCGTGGCTGTAGCCCTGGAGCTGGTCCGTTGGGAGCGTCTGGCAGTGGCCAGCCGCAGCTGCAGCGGCGTTCGCGAGAGACACTTACGTCCCGGCAGCTTCACGAGTGGTACGCTCAGAGTAGAGGGTCTTTGAGTCCAGTTCGCTGCCCGTACGTCATTCGCACAGGTGATCGGACTGGTCAGCCTTGCGGGACGCCTGGTCACACACAGTCCCGCTGCTTCGCTCGTCTGAGCGACGCCTGGCGTACCGAGTTTGGCGACGAGGCTGAGCTCCCCACCTGGCTGGAGCTGCTTGGACAGAGGGTAGATATATTTGCTCTTGACTATGATGCTATTCTCACTGCCATGTATGCATTGCCTACTAGTGCCGACCGTGCCTGTTACCTGTGCGTACCACCTGACCCAGGTATAGAGCCTGCTGCTCTAGGTGCTGGTGAGGCTACTGCTCTAGGTGCTAGTGCGTCTCCTGCTCTAGGTGCTGGTGAGGCTGCTGCTCTAGGTACTGGTGAGTCTGCCCTCTCTGGTACTGCGCCTACTGAGGCCTTGTACACCTTCACACTTGACTCCGGTGCCTCTCGCTCTTTCTTTCGCGACAGCACCACCCTCACGCCGCTCAGTCGGCCGGTTCCAGTCTCCCTGGCAGACCCCTCTGGGGGTCCAGTCCGTGCGACCTCCTCCACTGTCCTCCCTTGTCCTGCTGTCCCGTCCGGCACACTGTCGGGTCTTTACCTCCCCTCGTTCTCTACGAACTTGGTGGCGGGTTCCGCGCTCCAGGACGCGGGTGTTCACCAGTTCACCCCTGCCTACGAGCGTGTGACACACTGCACGTGTGCTCAGACTGGTCGTCACCTGGCTACCTTCACTCGGCAGCCGGGGTCGGGCCTGTACACACTGACCACTGAGTCCCCTCAGGTAGCTGCGTCTGCGTCTGCGTCAGGTCAGTTGTCGCCCCCCTGCTCGTGTCGTGCCTTGTCGCACCAGACCCTCCTTTGGCACCACCGCCTTGGTCACCCCTCGGTGCAGCGCCTTCGCAGCATGCACCGCCGTGTCCTTGTCTCTGGTCTTCCCAGGGTTCTCCCTCCCCTCCCACCCTCGCCTGCTCCTCCCTGTCTTCCCTGTGTCGAGGGGCGGCAGC